ATTTTATTTTATTTTATTTTATTTTATTTTATTTTATTTTATTTTATTTTATTTTATTTTATTTTATTTTATTTTATTTTATTTTATTTTATTGTATTTTCTCCCCCTTGCTTTCAGTTTTTCCTTCTCCTTCCCCATATTCCCGAGGACTGTTGGATGCCGCGATTCCCTCCGTCCCCAGGCACTGCCGGCAGCGTTCCCGGCTCTGTCCCAGCCCAGGGGAGTAATTCCCGGCTCTCCCAAGGAGCATCCGTGCTGGAGCCCTTTCTTCAACCCCTTTTCAGTGCCTCTGCCCCAGGATGGAAATGGACCAAAAGTGCCAAGACGTTTTATGGGATATTTCTATAATAAGGAGCCTTAATAAAAAGTGACAACCGTGGACACACTGCAGTGATCTCCCTCCCTCGGGGTGAGCACCATCCCTTCTCCAGAGAAGCTCTCTGGGAGCGGGAGGACTCGGTGGGATCCCTTGGAATCGCTCCCTGAGCTTCCTCCCGGGATTCTCCCGCATCCCGGGGCTCCGTGGCCACGTCCTCGCTCCAACACCTGGCCCCGGGGACCTGCCTACTGCCAGGGGACTGTCCCCGTGTCCTCCCGCTCCCGGGCAGCTGGGATTCGTTCAGGATGGGGTTTCGCATTCCCTGGCTCCTCCAGCCGCTGCCGCTGGCGTCGATTCCCATTGTGTGGGAAGGGGCAGGTCCTGCAGCGGGGCAGGGAGGGAATATCCTGGCAGAAGAAAACACGCCGGGATTTCTGCGGAGAGGGTGTCTCGGTGGGAGGGAGGGAGGGAGGGAGGCAGCCGAGAGATGCCAAACACAGCCCACCCTGGGACACGATTTTTTTTCCCCAACCTTGGCATAGCAAAATTCAGTTCTGCCTCTGCTAAAGCCAGGCTTTGATTCCCACTGCAGAGCTCGGCAAGGAGGGAAGCTGAGAAATTTAAGGAGGTGAGAGCACAGTCCTAGGGCAGGATCTGCAGCCCGACTGTGACTGAGTGGATTTTAAGGATGTGAGGATGGAGGAGTCACCTGAACCAGACGAGCAGTAGCCCTGGCCCGTCCCCTGCCAGGTTTATCCATTAAAAGCTGCATTCCAGTGCGTGGAAGAGTAGCTTTGGGAATGACAAGGGACAGTAAAACCATTAAAGTGTGATGTTTGCTGTGTGCCAGTTCTCAGCATCCACTGGGGCTCCTCATCTCTGCATTCTAGGCAGGAATATCCCTCCGGATATGGGACTGGGGCTCTGGGATGAGCAAGGCACCAGTTCTGGAGTCAGATCCTTTCCATTCTGGTCCTGCTGAGATGTGACTCCTCATTCTGCTATCCCTCTATCTCTGTGGATATGGACTGGGGGCTCTGGGATGAGCAAGGCTGGAGTCAGATCCTCTCCATTCTTGTCCTGCGGGGATGGTGCATGAGGACATGAGTTATTCCCTTCCAAGACTGATATGGACCTGCCTAAGCCCTGGAAAACCAGCTGGATACTGAAAATCCCCCCACAGCCACAGGGCAAAGGTGGCCATTCCTGTGCACTTCCTGGCTGTGATTAAAAATGCCATTTTCATGACTTCCTGTGGAGAAGGGATTTTCTCCTCAAATATCCCCAAAATATTTCCCTATGCCCAGCAGAATTCCTGGGGCAGGCAGAGTCACCAAAAACCCCAATCCAGAGGTCCTAAACTGGCTGGCACCTATTAGGAAGGTCCAGAACATTGTGGCTTGGAGTCTACAAGGAGGAGGGATAAAGGAGGAGATTTGCTGGGTGGGAAAACACCTTTGGGACTTGTATTCCCATGGAAGCACGGATAAAATCCCTAGGAGCATTCTGTGCTGGTGCCGTGCACCTCAGCTCATGGAAAAATCCTGGGAGTGGAGACCCCCCAAAAAAAAATCCCCAAAATAAATAAAATAAAATCAGGTTTTCAGGCAGGGTGAGGTGCTGCTGTGCTTGCCCACAAACCAGGCAACCTGACAGAATCTAGGGAAAATTGGACTTGATGGGAACAGAACTTTTGGAATTGATGGGAACAAAGCAAGGGGGTGGAAACAATCAGCTCTGACATTTCTAGTCCTGTCAAAATCGATCCCATCCCTTGCAATACAGCAATTCAGATGGAATGGGGTTTGCAGTCTGAAAAAAAATGAGGTTGGAACTGTTTCAATCAGCTCTACCTGCTCCATATATCTTTAGCACCCTTTGGAGAGCACAGAGCAGGATGGGGAATGTTACTGGAGACTTGCTGGTGGACCCCAGATTGATTTCTTTCCTGGAGTGTTTGGAATCCTAAGGATTTAAACCCATCCCTCTGCTGTAGGAATGGGCTGGGGGAGTGGGGCTTGCAGATGTTTGGCACCAGCACAGGATCTGCTTTCCTGGGATTCCAGCGCTCCTTGCTCCAGGTTGTGGCTGAAGAAGCTGGAAGGGGCTGGAGGGGATCCCCTTGGAGATCAGGGATGGCCCAGGGAAGATCCAGGCTCATCATCCTGTGGGTGATCCCAAGATACCAAATTTCGGCCCAGGCTGGAAAAGAGCTGATCTAAAATTCCCGAAGTCAGATTGGTGCAAATCCTTTGGGTTCTTTGGAGGTAAATCCTCCTCCTTGTGCCGGAACTTGAAAAAATCCGTGCCCAGCTCTCCGGAGAAGCTGCAAATCCCCTCCTCATTTGCAGGGTTATAAACCTGCCCACAACTCCTTAAGTTGCATTTGGAAATGGGAATTTGATTCCCAGCTCCCTCAGGCACTTCATAACATTCCCTCTTGATAGGGAGTTCTTAATTTTCGGGGAATCCAGCAGGTAAAAACCTCTGGAAACCTTTCCCAAAATCTTTCTGCTGCTCCCAGCCCACAGCCCAGGAAAATCCCACCTCATTTCCCAGTGAGAGGCTGGAGAAGGGGGCTGGAGTGGCTGGAAGAGGTTTGGAATAGGAAAGTTGTGTTGGGAAGCATCCAGGACCAGTCTGGGAAGTGTGGGATCAGCCATTCCCTGGGATAAAATGGCTGCAGGAGTGCAGTCCTGGTGGTGTTTTGACAGAAATCTCCATAATTTGAAGAAAACTGGGGATGATAAATGGCAGGAAAAAATTCCCTGGATCATAATAATAGTTTCACCCTACCACCAAGCAGCTCTGTGGGTTTGGAGCTCCTTGCAGAAGCTTCCAATGGATTTTGGAGGAATTGGGAAGGGAGATCAATGACAGGGCTGACAAACCTTTTCTTCCTTGTTATTACTGATAGAAATTTAATCATTCCCATGGGGAAAACCTCCCCCCTTCCTGCTATCCCTTCTCCTGCAGCAGAAATATGAAAGTCCTTTCAATCCCGAAGTTATATGGACCTGGCAAGGAGCAGTGAAGCTTTCACTCCCAGAGATATCCCAGTTCTGGCACCATGATCCCAGAAAATGATGTCATGCAGGATTTCTGTGCCAGAGTTTTCCCTTTCTTCTTTGGATCTGTGGAGATGTCAAAGTTCCTCTCCGGAGCAGGTCTGGTTTTAATATTCCATATTTACGTTTTTCATTTCGGGGCTGGCTGGAGCCTCTGCCGGTCCCAACCTCACGGATGCCACTGGAAGAAGTGAGGAAGAGAAGCTGGGATGGATTGATGGGCACTGTTGGATTCCTAAACCTTGGGAATTGGCCCTAAAATAGTCCCTGCTCATTTCTCAGGAGCTGTAATTCCCTCTGCTCTGCTCTGCTGCTGTTCCGGTTCCCCTTCCCACAGGGAACACCCCCCTTTGCCAGGAACGGATCCAGCTTATCCTGGAGCTGCCAAGCCTCGTGAATCCATGAAAAATCCCTGGGAAGTCAAAGACCCAAGATCCCTAAGTGTCCATGCCCTGTGGGATAGTGAGGAGCACAGCTGGCAAAGATTTTCCTGATCCTAGGAGGAGACAGGAGGCTCGTGGAGATGGATCCACATTCCTTGGGCTGCTTGGTGCTCCCATGGGATAAAGTGGGAATAGACCAGGCAGCATTGGAAAATCCTGGCTGCCCAAAACTTTTCCTGCAGGAACACTCCAAAGCCAGCAGGGAATTTGTCTTTTGGCTTCCTTGGACCGCCAGAGCCATATTTTAAGGTCGGGAATTGTTGCCAGCATCCAGGCACAGCCCCTGGAGCTGGTGACACAAATGTGACAGGAGGCAAGGTCAGGTTACAGATGAGGCCACTCCAAAGCCTCTCCTGGAGAACCAGAGGTTTGAGGAAAGGGATCAAATGTGCTGGGAGGAAATAAAACCAACCCAGTAGAGTGTGAGAAATCTGCTGGAAAGGGAGAATAAAATTCCCTCTGGCAGGAACTTGGTTGCTTTTGGAGGCAGCCAGTGAATTCCAAAGCCACGTCCCTCAAAACCAATGCCCCACCCGGCATTGGCACCAAAGGGTCCTCTGTCAGTGGGGCTTGGAAGTACATCCATAAGGAATCCCCAGCTTGGATCTTGAATGAAATCTATCCTTCCAGGAAGGCCTGGAGACCTCAAGCAAGGCTGAAGGGGGAGGTGAGAAACCACTGAGGGAGTCCATGGAAGATGGTCGGAATTCCCTGCATTTGACCTGCTGGGTTGATCCCAAGATCCTTCCAAGGAGTTTTGCACCTCCAGGAACTCCTCTGCCTCATGAACATTCCCCTTCCTTCATTCCACCTTGGATGAGGCAGGGCTACCTGGCTGT